TCTATGAGATACATCCTTTTAGAGCAATTTATACGGAGTTCTACATATTAATTCAATAAAATATTTTTTTTGATAGTTTTTTATGAGATACATTTTTTAGAAATCAAAATTATACATCCTAAAATATATATATATATTTTAGTTCAGAGTAATTTTAAATTTTTTGAATTAAATTGAACAAATTTAATCTTTATTTTCTTTCACAGTATTTTTTACTTGTATTATTTCAGGTCACATTCAATGAATTTTAATAATCAATTAGATTAAATTTGTATTGCATATTAATGCAATAAAATACATTTTTTATAGTTTTCTATGAGATACATCTTTTGGAGTAAATCTTTTGGAATTCGAAACAATATTCTCTAAAATATATACTTCATTCAATTTGAAGTAGTTTTTACCTTGAGTACTTTTTAAGTGCAAAATCGATAAATTTTAATCTTCCTTTCCTTTCAAGATATTTTTTACTCGTATTATTTTGAGTCAAATTGAACGAATTTTAATCACCAATTAGATTAAATTTGTACTGCATATTAATACAATAAAATACATACGGAGTATGTGATAATTTTCTATGAGATAAATCTTTTGAAATTTATAATTAAACTCTCTAAATTATATACTTCGTTCAATTCAAAATATTATATTTTTTAGTTTTGAAGTCAAATTGGACATACAAATTTTAATCATCAATTAGATTATATGTGTTATATACTAATACACAAAAATACATTTTTGATAGTTTTAGATTAGATAAATCTATTGGAATTCGAAATTCTAGTCTCTAAAATATATACTTCCTTTACTTCAACTATTTTTTGTGTCAAATTGAAAAAATTTTATTCATCGGTTAGATTAAATTTGTAGTACATATTAATACAATAAAATACATTTTTGATAGTTTTCCATAAGATAAATCTAATGAAAACACTTTTGTATTAATATTCAATACAACGTTTATTTAATTGATGATCAAACTTAAATTAAAAAATCATACTAAACGAGATGTAAGTAGAATTCTTTTTCTATATATACTTATTTTCATTGATTATTTTATTAAATTAAACGGTCTTGTCATTAAAAGATCTTCATCATTTATTTCATTTTATTACTTTTCAAAAACAAATGCTTTTACAAATTTTAATACATATGCATCTTTGATATAAACTAATTTTTTTCCATTTACTAAAATATAGTGTAACAATTTATATACATGTATAGTAAATAGTCGTTCGATGTAGCGACATTATTATAAGGTTAATTACTTATAATTTAATAGTCTAACTATAATGCTTTTCATTATTTTAATGCAATAATTTGTATTTTCTATACTCACCACTTAAATAATAAAAACAAGTTTTTAGTAAAATTGCATTTTTTTTAATTTTTTAAGTTTATTTGATAGTTCTCTTTTATGCAAATTCTAGAATACTTCTTGTGATGCTTTATATCTAAAACATAAATAATTTGAGAAAAATAGGTTTTAATAGCTTTTTTCGTGTATCACTAATTAGATGTAAATATTACAGTTTTTAGAAAAAGACATTATTGAATTAGATTCATGTAGGATAAGATTTTAAGGGTCGATATTGTTTTTGATGTAGAATCTCTTATTATTTTTAACTCTTTTTCTAATTTTGTTAGGAGATATATTGTGCTTACCTTAATTATTGATGACATCTTGAACTTGAAAGATAATTTTGTTTCAGTTAGTTGGTCCTTTGTATAATGGGAAGGTAATTTCTCGGCTCATCATCTCGCTAGACATAATATTGATAGTGATGAAAAAGTCTGGCTTGGGTCGTGTCCATTGGCTATTACTCCTTTTGTTCTAACTGATGCATTAATGAATTGATGTTTCGGTTGACCTTACCAAAAAAATACCGAGTATAAATTATCAAAGTTAGAAAATTATACTCCATACAATGCTAATTTTAGGAAGTATTTTGTACTCCAGTAATTATTATTATTTTTTAAATTAAATTTGAAGTTTTAATTTAAAAAACTTCGTAGGCATATCGAGAACTGTTTTTCCAAATTTCAATTGGGGATCTGATCAATCAAATTTGAAGTTTTATATATTGTTGTCCAACTTTCTAACCAAGAACAAGAATGGTTGCCTCCATAGCATAGAGGTAGTGCGTTCCCTTCGTAAGGGAAAGGTCGTGAGTTCGATCCTCACTGGGGGCTATTTTTTTCCCTATAGAATGCTTGATAAAATATAAATTTTAAATATATAAATTTTGTTTCTTATTTATTACTCCGTACTAAATTTAAGATATATATCGATTTTAAAATGAATTGAATTAAATCCAATGAATCATAAATCATATATCAATTTTTTTCTATATAATGCTTGATATAAATTTTAAATATATAATTTTTTTCCTATAGAATGCTTGATATAAATTTTAAATATATAAATTTTGTTTTTTATTTATTACTAAATTTAAAATATATATCGATTTTAAAATGAATTGAATTAAATCCAATGAATCATAAATCATAAATCATTTTTTTCTATATAATGCTTGATATAAATTTTAAATATATAATTTTTTTATTTATATACTAATTTTAAAATATACACCGATTTTAAAATTAATTGAATTAAATCCAATCAATCATAAATCCTAAATTAATTTGTGCATGGGCTTTTTTTAGCTCATATATTTTCGGTAGAATGCTAGATATACACTCATATGTTTAGCATGCTTTATATAAATTTTAAATATATAAATTTTGTTTTTATTTATATACAAATTTTAAAATATATATCAATTTTAAAATGAATTGAATTAAATCTGATCGATCATAAATCGTAAATCAATTTGTGTATGGGCTTTTTTTAGCTCATGTATTTTCTGTAGAATGCCAGATATACATTTTAAATATATAAATTTTGTTTTTTATATACTAATTTTAAAATATATATCGATTCTAAGATGAATTAAATCCAATCAATCATAAATCGTAAATCAATTTGTGTACGGGTTTTTTTAGCTCATATTTTTTTTTGTAGAATGCTAGACATACATTTTAAATATATAAATTTTGTTTTTTTATTTATATACTAATTTTGAAATATATATTGATTCTAAGATGAATTTTGTGTAAGGGCTTTTTTTAGCTCATATATTTTCTGTAGAATGCTATATATACATTTTAATTATATGAATTTTGTTTTTTATTTATATACAAATTATATATATATATATATATATATATATATATATATATATATATCAATTCTAAGATGAATTGAATTAAATTCAGTCAATCAAAATCGTAAAACAATTCGTGTCTTTTCTTTGATAACCCAAGAATTTATTATATACTCTAGGGTATAAATAAGGCTTATTTGCATTTGAGCGTTTGTGATGGAAAATATAAACATTATAATAAAAAGGTATTTTCACTTCAATTTGTAACAAAAAAGTATACAAACTTTATGTTTTCTAACAAAAAAGTACCTTTAACAAGTTTCTAATAAGAATTCATTCGAAATTTGTCGTTTTATTTCTTTTTATGTTTTTGATCGCATCAGCATTTTTCTTGCTCTGTTAAGTCTAATATTAATCCATATCTATATTTTTTTGTTTTCTATTATATCCTTCAAATTTAGTTTAATTTATATTTTGATTATATATATAGCCCAAAAACAATAGTGGGAATAAGTAAAGACATTGTTTAATAATTCATATTTTTCAATTAATCCTATGCTAAAAATTTAAAACTAACCAAAAATAATGCAAAAAGTTTGTTTTTGGATTTTTATTAATTTAAATTAGATGTATATTAATTTTTTAAAAAAATAAATGGATATGAATATAAACATAGTTGGTAAAAAATTATGGACAATTTTGTAAATTTCTATCAATTTAATATACTACGTATAAAATAATAAGAAACTAAAATAAAAATAAAATAATATTTATGAACCATAAGTAAGATTGGAAGACAATTACGCATTGACTAAAGTGTAATAAAACTAACTTTGAACGATTTTACAGAAAAAGGAAAATTAAAAATCAAAATGAAAATACAATTATATTAGTCTTAACTGAACAAGTAACATGCTAGTGTAGTAAAAAAATATTACTCTTTCTGTCATTGAGTATTTGTCCACTTTTAACTTTTTCGATCAAAATCAGTAGATTTTGATCTCAAATTAAATAAAAATGATATTAGATATTGATACAAAAA